TGATTAGGCATGGGTACAGAGAAGGCAAATTTTTCTCTGTCTTCCTCATGTAATGGAATAGTAAAAAAGAAATCTTTTAAATCAATAATATAAAGATAATTTTGTAGGGGAATGGCAGTGGGTGAGGGAAGCCCAGGTTGTAAAGATCCCATTGGTTGCATAACTTTATTGATAGCTCTTAAATCCTGTAGCAAACACCATTTGCCTGATTTTTTCTTAATAACAAAAATAGGCATATTCCATGGACTATGAGATACTTGTATATGTCCTGCTTATAATTGCTCCTGAATTAAGGCCTTGTGCTGCTACTAATTTCTCCCCTCTTAGGGGCCACTGATCCACCCATATTGGCTCATTACTGAGCCAAGTGATTTTAGCAGCTGTATGAAGTGGTGGGGGGGGGAAGTTATTAATCAGGGCCCCTTCTAAAAATATGTAGGAGATGTCTTGTATCCTAATCCCATATGAGGAGGATGGGGCACAGAAGAGATGGGTTCCTTTATACCCTGTTGACTCTTTACTAGGCCTTTATGAGGATCAAAACCCTGTTGTAACATCATATATGAAACCTTAGCACTGGGGCTATATAAAATAGCTCCCATTTCCTGTAAAACATCTCTTCCCCATAAAATTACTGGCAAATCTTTTAGCACATATGGTAAAAAGGTGCCAGAATGTCCTTCCTTATCATGCCAAGAGATAGCGCAAGCACTTTGTAAAGGAGCTGTGGCAGAGCCAACACGTTTTAAATCTGCTGTAGCCTGAACACAAGACCATGTGGATGGCCGGCGTCACTCTGCAATTACAGAAACATCTGCTGTAGTATCTAGCAATCGCATAAACCACTTTCCATTTAAAAATAGAGCCATCTCGGGGCAGTCAGAAGTGACTCACTGTACCCAGTAAGCATGATCAGACTGACCAAGCCCTTTTTCTCCCTGTGGGGTGTCCATGTGCACTTTTTCTACCTTTACATTGGGAAAGATTATCAACTGTGCGATCTTATGTGTGGGAGCAATAGCCACAAAAGTCTGAGGAGCTTGAGCAAGAATTTTAAGTTCTCCCATATAATCTTGATCAATAACTCCAGGATGTATTTGCGGACCCTTTAATGTCAAACTATTTTTTCCTAAAATTAATCCTATTGTCCCTTCTGGTAATGGCCCATAGACTCCTGTAGGGATTGTCTGAGTTCCCATCTCAGGAGTTAATGCGTATTGGGCGGAGGGACTGAGATCTAGTCCTGCACTTCCAGGGGTGGCACGAAGGAGGTCTGTAATGGTGACCTGATTCCTGGAGGGTGGTGAGTGCCCCTACTGTTTGATGGGGCTGGGGCTGGCCCCATGAGGAGTGTCCCTGCTGCCTTTGCAATGGTCGCCCTTCTATATCAGATTGTGAGTGACACTCATAAGCCCAGTGATGGCTACATCACTTTAAATAACAAATAATAGTTGACAGTAAAAAACACGGGAAAATCCACTCATTTTGGGGGTGGGTAATAGATATGAGTCTTTTGGCCTAAAGTACATTTGGAAGGCTTAGAAGTTAAGGGTATCAAGATAGCAATGGCTTTGTTCCCGAGTTTCTTGTTAGACCCTGTCACAAAATTAGGATTACTGCTGACAGTTTACCTCCATAAATTCTTGAATATTGAGATTTATATTGTTGACAAGTATGAAGCACAAAAACCTTAAAAACTCATTCTTAGAACAAAAGTGACACTCATGACCATTTGGCAATGATACTTATTAATTAAGTGATTTAAATCCTAAAAATTGGCTACATTTTTAGGAGGCAGGAAACAAGTCCCAAAATTTTACCATTTGGTCACCCTTCTTACTTTTGGCTCCTACCTTGGATTTCCACATTTCTCATTCCCCATTCTCTCATTAAAGATATTAGTTCTATTACCACTCATTACGTAAATTTATAGACCTGGAGCTGCCAAGAAAAGTGTTTTTAAGAAGTTTTGCTTTTAAGCCACTAAATGTACCCATACTCATGTATCCACTGAGAATATTTTTCACCTCTCCAGTTGATTAATTCTCCTCCTCAGGAAACATGTTAACATAAGAAAATATGGGGAAAAAGAACCGAACATCTTGACATGCAACTCAAACATGTCAGAGTACTTATGTAAACCTAAACTGAACTGATTTCAGAAAGTTATGCTGTATATTAAAACTGTGTTATCAGTGCTAACTGAAAATAGGTATGTGTTTCACTACAAAATTAACTTAGAAACAACAAAAAACCCAGACCGCTTTCTCTCAGAGGGTTATGTTGTACTGATATCCTATAGATAGTATTACAACAGGATTCCATTTTTTAAATAGGTTAGGTTCACAGTATATTAGTACTGAGAGCATATGTTTAATATTAAATTTAAGAACACCATTAGTGGAATCTATATAGAAGGCATGTAAAAAGCTAGCATTGAAACTCTTAAAGGCAGTGATCCAATCTGTCAGCTGCTATAAAAGGTGCTGCTAGGAATAAAAAATTTAAAGAAATTTAGTTTTAGCACATACTTGTTCATAGTGCTTTTACAATGAAATGTGTTAATTCACATAAACTTCAGTTACTAGAACTAATGGACCCTTTTACAGCATTAACTTTTGCACCTTTAACTAACCCAATCATGAAAATGGAAGCAATCACTTGCAAATCTTCTAGACAGTGCTATTAGAAGTAGTCTGAGCAGTCAGGAGGAAGTTCTGGTTGAAGTAGTGTTGCTTGTTTCCATCAAACTTCACAGGTCCACTGGTCAAAATAAGAACTGTAGTCTGGGACTGGGTAGCTTGCTCATGAACTGGTTGGCAATCTAACATATTGACCTGGAACTCACTAGCGGGCAACATCTCAAAAAAATTAGGTCTTCTAGCCCTGTAACATTTCCATTCTCTATTGAAAGTTGGTCTTTTCCAGATAAAGCCTGGTAAGTGCCTGTCTTATTTTGTTCATTGTCTCACAGTAGATATTGACAAGTTCCTCAGCAGCTCTACATGCCTGATCTATGTTAAGTTTTAAAATCCACAAACATGGTCATTGGGGAGCCAGAAGGAGCCTTTTCCTTGAAAATTCTCTTTTATCCTATGCATTATCTTTTTCTCTCAGGATCTATTATTTCTTTGTTCATTTTGTTTTTTAAATTTGTGTAGTTAGTTTTTCATAAATGTCTGATGGCCCCTGGTTTTCTGTTATATTTATTAATCAATGCTTACTTAATAATTAGTGGATATTTTCATAGCTAGCTAGTAAGGGTTTCCTCTGCAAATAGATTTCTTTCTTTTACAGATCTCTTCCATAAATGGGAGCATGATTTGGGGTCCTGGGTTAGTCTGTTCCTTCAGGAGCATAGATAGTTACCAGGCATGGTTAGGACTTCCTTGGTTACAGAAAGTTAGGAAGTGCCATTTTGAATGACGAGGACTTTATTTCATTGTAACATGGAACTACTTTTCTTTTTATTTACTTCCATTGTTGTGGAAGACTCAAATTACTTCATGTTACTTTTTAAAAACTTCTCTGTCTCATTCCAACATACCTGCTTAAAACTCTGCAGTTTTTCGTTATCACTGGAGCAGAAACCTTCCATGTCAACATTTCTGTGTACTTCAATGAGTTGATGGGAGTGGCCCAGATGTTCTGTAGACAAATATTATATTAACTGATCATTAATGGTGGCTTCACAGATCACTGTTGCTCCTTTTATTTCATATTCTTTTTTGTTGTTGTTTTTGTGGTACTGGGGCTTGAACTCAAGGTCTACAACTTGAGTCACTCTGCCAGCCCTTTTTGCAAAGGGTTCGCAAAAAAATAGGGTCTTGTGAAACTATCTGCCCAGGCTGACTTCAAACCATGATCCTCCTGATCTCTGCCTCCTGAGTAGCTAGAATTACAGGGGTGAGCCACCAGTGTTCTTGAGTTTGTATTTTCTCCAAACTTCTGGTTGAAAATGGCTCTTGTTGCTGCAATAATTTTCCATGAGTGTTTTTTTTTCTATTCATCTTATATCATGTCTTCTATTTTTCATGTATTGATGAAAAGTCTGTGTCTTTCTTGTTCCCAGTTTTTGTTTTCTTTTTTATAAAATCTCTTTTATTTTACAAAGGAGGAAAGATATACTTCTGTCTACCATCTTAAGATTAAAGATGAGAAAGTCACTTATGATCATATGAAGAATGAGTAAATATTTTCTGATGAAACAATACTGACAAAATAAGAAAAACTGTAACTTCTGACACTAAATATATTTTGGCATTGGTTCTCTGTAGGGGAAGGAAAATTCCTACAGAGGGTGACTTATTTTTGTGAGGTTATAGTAGGCAGTGAGTCACCATCCATATTACCATGCAAATAGTAGCATTATTAGTATTATAAAATAATATCTGAAAAATATTTTATAAAATATAAATTTATTGAACTGAAAGGAAAATGTAATTAACACTTAAGAATCTGAATTTGAATGCTAGAAGAAAATTCTCTGTGTGTTTCTCCTATTTTGCCTTCCTTGCAATGAAAGGCACTAATTCCTCTGTTCTGCTGTTAGCATCTCAGAAGCCAGAGGTAATATCTCCCTCTGGAGCAAAAGGTAGGTATGATTGCTTATTTCCCATTAGAAAATATTTGGGTTACCTAAGCTCAAAGTTCCTCAGCTGTGATACAAACATACTGTGTTTGTGTAGTATCTACCTGAGCTGGCATGGGACATGGGGACAAGGAGAATCAATGCAGACAGGAAGCTAATACTATTTGCATTGTCATGAGTAATAAAGTCCTTTGCCTCTATCACAAAAATCTTGTGTTCTACCAACATCCATTAAACTGTGGCATACTGACTTGTTAGCATTCAAGTAGGGCAAACTCTGAGACCTTCACACTGAATTATTAAATTAAAAAGTAAGCACATTTAACCTGCTTGAGTTCAGCAGTAATACAGACAAATGTCTTCAGTAAGAGTACATGATAGTTCTTTAACTTTTTTCTTTCTTTATTAGTTATGAGTTTCATGAGCGGCTAAGTAAAATTGATAAGATGAAGAATAGATACGAAATTCTTACTGTCGTTATGCTGCCTCCTGAAGGAGAAGAGGAGAAAACACAGACCTACTATGTAATAAAGGTAAAAAGCTCATCTTAATTGATTTATAGCTACAATAGTATGAAGTATCCTTTCTTTGTTAACTCATTCACTGTAATCCTGTGTTAGGCTTTGTTTTGTTTTTTGTTTTGTCACTGTAACAAATCCCTCAGGGAAACAATTTTAAAAAGGGAAAGATTTATTTTGACTCAAAGTTTTCAAGAGGTTTCAGACATAGTCACCTTGCTCTTTTGTTTCTGTGTCTGTGGTGAGGCAGAACTTTATGGTGGAAGAGAGTTGTGGAGCAGAGCTGCTCACCCTATAGAAGGAAGTAGAGAAAGACAGGAAGGGACCAGGTACAAGATACCCTTCAGAGGCACACTGCCAGTGGTCTACTTGTTCCACCTAGGGTTTCCACCACTTCCCAAAATAGGATTATCAGCTGGTGACCAAGTATTCCACACATAGCCTGGCAAATATTTTATATTCAAAACTTAACCCTCTGCCTCTAGCCCCCAAAGGTTCATAGCTATCTCATAATGCAAAATGCATTTAGTACATCGCCAAAAGTCCCCGAAGTATTAACAGCTGCAGCATTGCTCAAAAGTTTAAAATAAGTTACATACTCAAAAACAAGTTACATATTCTAAGTACAGTGTCACAGAGTAAACTTCCATTTCAAAAGGGAGGAAAAGGGGAATCATAAAGAATTATTATACCAATGCAAGACCAAAACCCAGTAGGGAAAACATCAAATCCTATAGCAGCCAGCATGGGTATTCCATGCAACAGTCTGAATGATGGGTGGCCTTGAAATTTTCTCCACTATATTAATTAGTCCATCATCTTTAAATTTCCACAGTCTCAGAAGTAGTTGTTCTTTGCCAGAAAGGAACATTAATGGTTTCTAGAGCAATTTTAAATAAGAGTCCTCATGCACGTCTAAAACCACATGGGCCTGGCTTTACTGTCTGCATTTCTGTGGGCATCCTGAACTATTGAGCTCTCACCAGAATTGCCCTTAAGTTCCTTTTATAGCATACCAGGCTTTCTTTAGCCTGAATTTCCAAACTTCTCCAAATTCCTCCCACAATCCAGTTCCAAAGTCTTCTGAAACTCATCGTCAGGTAGTCAAAGCAATGGCCCTTCTACTCTGGTATCAATTTTTTGTGTTAGTCAGTTTTTCCTTGCCATGACAAATACCTGAGGGAAATAATTTAAGAGGAGGAATGATTTTTTTTGACTCACAGTTTCAGCAGTTTTGATCCATGGTTGACTGAATTCATTGTTTCTGGGCCTGTGGTGAGGCTGAACTTCAGTCATGGTGGAAGGATGTGGTAGAGCAGAGCTGTTTAAGTAATGGTAACTGGGGTGCAGAGAGAATCAGGAAGGGGCTCAGGACAAAATACCCACAATGGCACACCCCCAGAGGCCTACTTGCTCCAACCAGGGCCCACCTCCTAAAGTTTGCATCACCTCCTAAAATAACATCATCAGCTCCTGACTAAGCCTTCATCACAAGAGCCTGTGCAGGGTATTTCATATTCAATCATTTAAATACTCTAAAGAACCTAAATGACATTTCCATTATAAAACATAGCAACTATTTATTTAAAGCTATTTGCTATTGTATTTGACAACGGTCAAAGCATTAGTTCCTAAATTGAGATACTGAAGTGTACTATTCTATAAACTTCCAGTTCATTTTTCTTTCTCTGCCTAATTCCTCTGGCTAAAAATATAAGTGCTGGATTGAATAAGAGTGGAGAGAATGGTCACCCTTGTCTCATTCCTCATTTTATAGGAAATGGTTTCAGATATAGGTTTATTGTATATAACTTTTATGATTTTGAGGTATGTTCCTGTTCATAGTTTCTTCAGGGCTTTTATCATTAAGGGATGCTGAATTTGTCAAAGTATTTTCCTGCATATATTGAAATGATTATTGATTTTTGTTCCTGATTATATTTATGTGCTGTATTACATTTATTTATGTGTATTTTGAATTATCCTTGCATCCCTGGAATGAAAACAACTTGATCATGGTGTACACTCTTTTAAAAAATGTATTGTAGAGCTGGCACAGTGGCTCAAGTGGTAGAATGCCTGCCTAGCAAATGTGAGGTCCTGAGTTCAAACCATAGGACCACCCAAAAAAAAAGGCTAAAAATGTATTATTGAGTCCAGTTTTCACACATTTTATTATAATTCTTACATCTATGTTCATCAAGGAAATTGGTTTATATTTTTTATATCCTTGTTTGGAGATAGTAGAGTTCCTTCTCTTTCTATTTTTTGGAACAGTTTGAGGAGTATTGATGTTAGTTCTCTAAAAGTCTGACAGACTCAGCAGTGAATCTGTCCAGTCTTGGGCTTTCCTTTGGTGGGAGACTATTGCTACTTCAATCTCATTGCTTATTTCAGATGTTTATTACCTCTTGGTTCAAATTTGGTAGGTCATATATGTCTGAAAATTTATACTTTTCTAGAATTTCCAGTTTATTGTAATAAAAGAAAATATTTCATAATGATCTTTGGGATTTCAGTGGTATATGTTATAATATTCCTCTTTTCAACTCTGATTTTATTAATTTAAACCTCTTTAGTTATTGGTTAGTTTAGCTAGAAGTTTGTCAATTTTGTTTGTCTCCATTTTCATTAGCTTTGATATGTATTATTTGTTTCCTAATTTGAGGTTTGGAATGTTCTTGTTTTTCTAAGACTTTGAAGTGCATCATTAATTTAATTATTTGAGGTCTGTGATTTTTTAATATAGGGACTCATAACCATAAATTTCCCTCTTAGAATTGCCTTTGCTATCTTTCAAAGGTTCTGGCAAATTGTGTTTTCACTTTCATTCAGTTCTAGGAATTTTAAAATTTCCTTCCTTTTTTCAATGACACACTGAACAAAGTATATTTATTCTTCATGTCTGCATATTTTCTGTATTTTTCTTACTATCAAGTTCAGATTTTATTTCACTATAATCTGGTAAGATACAACAAATTAATTTCATTTTTTTCTGCTTGTTAAGACTTGTTTTATTATCTAAAATGTGATCTATTTTGGAGAACATTCCATGGAATGATGAGAAGAGTGTGTATTCTGCAGTTGTTGTGTGTAATATCCTATAGATGTCTGTTAAATATATTTGCTATATGGTACACTTTAACTCTGAAGTTTCTTTGTTGAGTTTTTGCCTGGATGGTGTATCTACTGATGAGACTAGGGTACTTAAGTCACCCACTATTTTTGTATCTGGACCTGTCTGTCCCTTTGTCTCAGTGTTTGCTTTATGAAATTGGCTGCACTAACTTTTGTGGCATATATATTGACAGTTGTTATATTTTCTTGATGAAAGATTGTTCCCCTTAATATTTTTTGTTATCCTTTCTGATAGAATGTTTTAATTAAAATTAATTTCCTCTACTAATAAAGGCTATGACGAGTTCCCTAAATTTGCTGGTGTTGAAAGCCTTTGTCCATAGCCTGTTTTTACCACTGAGTAGGTGATCTTGAATAAGTTATTTAACCACTTGGGGCCTGTGTTAGTCAGCTTTCCATCACTGTGACAAAATTCCTAAAGGAAACAACTTTAAAGTAGAAAAGGTTTATTTTGGCTTATGGCCTCGTGTTTCAGTCTTTGGTCCCTTGTTTCTGTTGTTCCTGGGCCATGGTGAAGTAGAAAACCATGGTGGGGAGCATATGGTTGAACAAAGCTACTCATTTCATGGCAGCCAGGAAGCGGAGAGAACAAGAGGGGAAGGGTCCAGGGACAAGACATAGCCCCCAAGAACATATTTCCTTCAACGCCTAAATTCTCATCACCTTCCAATAGCCTATCAAATTATGAACCCATTAATGAATTAATCCACTGATAAGATCAGAGCCCTCATGATACAAACACTTCCTAAGAGTCCTTTTTCTCAACATTGGCGAATTGGGGACTATGTCTTCAGCACATGAGCTTCTGTAGGGACATATCAACTTCAAACTGTAATAAGGCCTGTTTCCTCACTTGCAAAATGAAGATAATATTGTTACTTTTGTTGGGAGAAGTGAGAAAATATGCAAAACTCTAGGATAGTGCCTACCACACAAAATGAGCCCTCAATAAATGTTAGTTGCTGTTATTGTTAAAGCTGTGATGATGCTGATTAATCTTAGACAAAGAGGCAAGTTTTATATGAGGAAGTGTTCTGTTCACAGTGAAAGTGATGGATGGATAATATCATATAATGAATGTTAAATGAATTGAGGTTATCAGTTATCCTCAATTTCCTGATACCACATTTCTTTACCTTAATCTTTTTTGGGATCCATGGCTTGCCACACTGTTATTTCCAGTTTTTGTTGTTTGGTATACTAGACTTCTTACTAATAGCACTTCACATCCCAGATGTGTAAAAAGGAAACATCACTTCTTTATAACTAAACTCAGTCTAGCTTTTATCAGGACAAATTACCTATTTCCTGGAAATGGAAAGAAACAATCACTTGACGAAATGACAATATTGTACAGTGACACCAGTCTTGGTACTTCCTAGCAAGCCTTCTAGGGGCTATCTGATTCAACAGGAGTGCACACCTTTGACTTTCTGCTGACTTATTTTACAACTCTGTAGGGATAAATGATGCACTGCAAATAACTGATAGTCACATAAATGATTCTTGTTGCTCATATACAAAGGAATTTTGGCCAGTAGGAATACAGCTGTACTTACTAGATACAGATAACCCAAGTATTATAGTTTATTATCCTAAGATACTAGTTTTGCACCTACTGGCAAGTTCATTTCAGCATTTCTGACTGTGCATATCTATCTATAAAATCTATCCTTCAAATTCTTTGAGCTAGCCTAAATATTTTCCTCATTAATTACTAAGTTAAATAAAATCTTTGAGATATTTATACTTGAGAATAATTTTTAACCTTTTGAAAATAATATTTAGTATTTTCTCTGCTAGGAAAAACTTAAACTTGCCAATTGGAAGTTAATCATTTTTCAATGTGATATTCAGGATTTAAATTTAGTCATATCAAGATCCTTTCCCTTTCCTTACCCTAGCATTTCACTGCTGGGAAAAACTTAAACTTGCCAATTGGAAATTGTTTCTCAGTGTGGTAGATTTAGGATTTAAATTTAGTCATACCAAGATCCTTTCCCTTCCCTTATCCTCATTACAATTCTCCACAAGGGAATATTTCCTAATGGACACATACATGTATGTTTATAGCTCTTGGTTAGAGGAATTTGGTTACAGTACTAACCACTGTTTTCTGCATGTGTGAAATCAGGGTAAGCAAATCAGACCTTAACTAAACACTGCTCACTGCTTGTTTTGTAAATTAGTATTGTATATATAATACATAAACTCATTCATTCATGTATAGTTTATGGTCACCATCATGCTACAGTGGCAGGTAAGTATTTTCAACATAGACTGGTTCACAGAGTCTAACATGTTACTATCTGACCCTTTCCATAAAAAGTTTGTTGGCTTCCATAACAAACTGTCTCAAAGTAGATGGTTTAAACAACAGAAATTTCTTTTTTCATACTCTGGAGTCTAGAAATCCAAGATGAAGGTGTTGGCAAGATTGGTTCATTCTGAGAACTGTGAGGGAGAATCTGTTCTATGCCTTTCTCCTACTTTCTGGTGGTGTCCTGGCAAATCTTTGGTGTTCCTTGGTTTGTAGGTGTGTCACCTTAATATCAGCTTTCATCTTCACAGTGTACTTACTTCTTGTGTCTCTGTCTTCCCTCTATTCACGTGTCCAAATTTCCCATTTTTGCAAGGACACCAGTTACACTGGATTAAGGCCTACTTTAATGACCTTATCTTGACTATATCTACAAAGACCCTATTCCAAGTAAGGTCACACTCTGAGGTACTAGGTTTGAGGACCTTCAACATATCTGTTATTGATGAACACAGCTCAACTATTGCCCACTTTTAGTTCCGAAGTAGCCTTTGGTCTATGATACACATGGTTTTGTTTTTCTTTATATACCATAGTATCTTATTATAGTATCTGACTCTTAAAAGCCAGACTGAAAATATAATAACCACTGAAGAACTGGCACCTTACAAATCTTATTTTCAAGTTCCTCTTAGTTTTTATTAGGAGATTGTCTAATTCAGATCATATTTAGTGAAACTGTTCCAATGATGTACTTGAAAATGCTTTGAGCTGGGCACTGGTGGCTCACACATAATCCTAGCCACTCAGGAGGCAGAGATCAAAAGGTTCACAGTTCGAAGCCATCCCTGGCAGTCTGTGAGACCCTATCTCAAAGAAAACCCATCACAAAAAAGGGCTGACAGTGGCTCAAGTGTTAAGAACACTTGCCTTGCAAACATGAGGCCCTGTTCAAATCCCAGTGCTTCCAAAAAAAAAAAAAATGCTTTGAAATGTTAGAAAGTTATAAACAATTCCAAACACCAACATTTCTTCTTTTTTTTTTTTTTATTATTCATATGTGCATACAAGGCTTGGGTCATTTCTCCCCCCTGCCCCCACCCCCTCCCTTACCACCCACTCCGCCCCCTCCCTCTCCCCCCATCCCCTCAATACCCAGCAGAAACTATTTTGCCCTTATTTCTAATTTTGTTGTAGAGAGAGTATAAGCAATAATAGGAAGGAACAGGGTTTTTGCTGGTTGAGATAAGGATAGCTATATAGGGCATTGACTCACATTGATTTCCTGTGCATGTGTGTTACCTTCTAGGTTAATTCTTTTTGATCTCACCTTTTCTCTAGTTCCTGGTCCCCTTCTCCTATTGGCCTCAGTTGCTTTTAAGGTATCTGCTTTAGTTTCTCTGCGTTAAGGGCAACAAATGCTAATTTTTTAGGTGTCTTACCTATCCTCACCCCTCCCTTGTGTGCTCTCGCTTTTATCATGTGCTCATAGTCCAATCCCCTTGTTGTGTTTGCCCTTGATCTAATGTCCACATATGAGGGAGAACATACGATTTTTGGTGTTTTGGGCCAGGCTAACCTCACTCAGAATGATGTTCTCCAATTCCATCCATTTACCAGCGAATGATAACATTTCGTTCTTCTTCATGGCTGCATAAAATTCCATTGTGTATAGATACCACATTTTCTTAATCCATTCGTCAGTGGTGAGGCATCTTGGCTGTTTCCATAACTTGGCTATTGTGAATAGTGCCACAATAAACATGGGTGTGCAGGTGCCTCTGGAGTAACCTGTGTCACAGTCTTTTGGGTATATCCCCAAGAGTGGTATTGCTGGATCAAATGGTAGATCAATGTCTAGCTTTTTAAGTAGCCTCCAAATTTTTTTCCAGAGTGGTTGTACTAGTTTACATTCCCACCAACAGTGTAAGAGGGTTCCTTTTTCCCGCATCCTCACCAACACCTGTTGTTGGTGGTGTTGCTGATGATGGCTATTCTAACGGGGTGAGGTGGAATCTTAGCGTGGTTTTAATTTGCATTTCCTTTATTGCTAGAGATGGTGAGCATTTTTTCATGTGTTTTTTGGCCATTTGAATTTCTTCTTTTGAGAAAGTTCTGTTTAGTTCACTTGCCCATTTCTTTATTGGTTCATTAGTTTTGGGAGAATTTAGTTTTTTAAGTTCCCTATATATTCTGGTTATCAGTCCTTTGTCTGATGTGTAGCTGGCAAATATTTTCTCCCACTCTGTGGGTGTTCTCTTCAGTTTAGAGACCATTTCTTTTGATGAACAGAAGCTTTTTAGCTTTATGAGGTCCCATTTATCTATGCTATCTCTTAGTTGCTGTGCTGCTGGGGTTTCACTGAGAAAGTTCTTACGTATACCTACTAACTCCAGAGTATTTCCTACTCTTTCCTGTATCAACTTTAGAGTTTGTGGTCTAATATTAAGATCCTTGATCCATTTTGAGTTAATCTTCAAATACCAACATTTCTAACTCAAATAGAATACACATTATATAATCTGATTTGGAAGCAGATGGAATAACTAGAACTTTAAGGAATACAAGGAATTATATCAGAAATTTATGTAGGATGAACAAATTCAACTCACTTGAAAAATGAAGACACGAGCCTAAGAGAAGTGATTTAGTAATACCACTCAACTCACTGGTACTTAACCCCCTACGAAATTCTAGCTACTATCGTTCATTTGTGCTCTTTCTCCCACTACACTATTTCAAGTGAAGTGGTTGTCAAACTAGCAACTAGTCTAATTGAAGGAAATAGGTCACTGAAGAGTGTGTCCTGAAGGACTGTATCTTGTCTCCAGCCCATCTATCTATCTGCTTCCCAGCTGCCATTAAGTATGCAGCCATGCTTGACCACATGGTCCCTGCTAGGATCTTCTGCATCTCCATGGCCCAGAGACTGTGGTTTCAGACCATAGACTGAAACCTCTGAAATTCTGAGCCAAAATAAATCTTTCCTTCAAGTTGTGTATGTCATTTTGTCACAGCCATTGAACTTGACTAACACAGTAACACTTCTTACAAATATGTAACTCAGGTTTTGAAGCATAATACAAACGCCATTGAAAGATGTTAGGAACTGAGATGTTTCTAGGAAAACTTGTATTTCTCATTGACTACATTCTGGTTTAAAAACATGTATCTAGGGACTAAACAAAGACTTACTAATTTTGACTAAAATTTGATTTTATGGAAGCTTTTAATACATACTCATGCTATTTCTGCCAACTTTTAATCTGAGTTCTTTGGAACTGGGAACTTTTAAGCCTAGATCAGTGACTGTTCTGCTGGTAAAAAGTCACTTACGTGAACTCATAGTTTTTTTTTTTTTTAAGCAATTGATAAAAGACTGCATGTTTTCTAGCCACATCTATAGCAATGACCTCTATTTCTCACTTCTGTAGCCATGACCTCTATTTTTTTTTTTTTTTACAATTTAAAAAAATTGTAGTAATATATACCTAGGAAATTATTTTCCTGGATATACCTTGGTCACCTTTTTATTCCTAAGATTTGAAATGAGAAAGTGTTTCTGAACCTTCTAATATTTAATTTCAAACTCCTGATTAGCCCCATTTACCTTCTCAGTAAATTTGGTATTCGCCTAGCTTTTTGGTAACTTTTTGCTATTTTGTGTAAACTGAAGATACATTCCCATTATGATTTTGTGTCCTATCCACCATAGTTTTGCAGTGCTGGGGAGTAAGCCCAGATCTTCATGAATGATATAAGCACCCTACCACTAAATCACACCCTACAACCCAACTATGTGCCATTATTTTGAAGGCCCTCAGGATTTGGTCTTCTACTCTAAATGAAGTCTAAGAAGTAAATGCCTGGTACCATTTGTGGGTAAACTAATACTCTTGTGATTTAAGAATCTTCTGATTCAAAGACAGACATTTCCCCCTATGACACGATTTTATTTAATTAGCTTTGTTTTGTACATCATAGGCTGCTCAAGAAAAAGAAGAACTTCAAAGAGAAGGTGACAGTTTGGACGCTAGGATCAACAAAGCTGAAAAAGAAATCTGTGCTCTAGAAAACACCTTGCAAGTCCTAAAGAGCTGCAACAACAATTACAAGCAATCTTTTAAGAAAGTGACTCCATCTAGTATGTAGGAGTCATTAAAACATATGTAATGAAAGTCATATAGGTATTTTTAATTAAAAAAAATTTTTGGTGGTACTGAGATTTGAACTCAGGGCTCTGCACTCACTAGGCTAGTTATTTAAGAAGAGGCACACTATGGTTCATGAACAGAAATGTTCTATGTTTGATAATGTCTAAAAAGTCATCTTTCTTCCCCCTTTTTTGTAGTTGGTCTGCTAAGATGTTATTTCCATTATTAGTCCTGTTGGTATGTAGCCTAACACTTATCAAGGGAATTAATTTCAAATCTGAAAAAAATTTGCAGAATATTGCTGCTATTGACTAAAAAAAGAAATAACTACTATATACCCATACTGCTTTTCCTCAGGTACATGTAAGGAATTTAACCTTTCATAACAAAAAATGTTAGACGTTTATTATGTATAATACTTTAAGATTACTTTTTACATAGTATATTGACAATTCAAACTAAAAATTGTCTGAACTTTAGGTGATGAATATGAGCTAAAAATTCAATTAGAAGAACAAAAACGAGCTGCTGATGAAAAATACAGATATAAACAAAGACAAATTAGAGAACTGGAAGAAGACATCCAGGTAAATTTAATAGGCTTGTTAGTAACACGCCTTCAAAAAAGGTCAGTGATCATTATGACTACTTTTAGTTCTTAGTCCTGTACAAAGAAGACAATTATTTGCAGTCTCTTTAGGGAGAGACAGTAAGAAATATGAGTCTCATTTAAGGAGAGAAAAACAAGTGATTCAAGTATTAAGTCAGTCAGTTAAAATCTAAGTGCTAAGCACTGACATTATTTGTTATTAGTTGATGGAGCACAGCTTGCAAATTATGGTCTATCCGCTAACCACTATTTAATGAACTTATTTAATTCCTTAACGATCACATTAGATTGTTCCTAAGAAAGGCTAAAAGACAAAAATAATAGTATAAAGAAGTTACTAAAGCAAATCACTAAAACATGGTTAGTAAGCAGGACATAATAAATGTTTTTTTTTCTTTTTAACAAAGCTGAAGGATCAGATGATATGAATTGTGAATCTTTGAAACTTGTTTGATTTCAAGTCATTGTTTATACTGTTTATTTTTTCCAAGTATAAAAAAGAAGTCCTAGTGGAATTATGTAAAACTGAAGCCCACAAGGCAACTACACTTATTATACCAACAGAATATACATTTTAAACAAAATAATTAAATGAATACTTGACAAATGGCAATCAATAAGTCAACTTTTTATTCTAACCAATGTTAATACTTTACCTTCTACAGAGTATGCAAAATACTTTAGAAGTTATAGAACATTTAGCAAATAATGCCAAAGAAAAATTATCAGAGAAGCAAGCTTATTCATTTCAACTACACAAAGAAACTGAGGAGCAGACGCCAAAATTAGAGAGAGTAACTAAACAGGTATTGGTATCTTTTAAAAACTGACCTGTGATATTTACATTTTTTTGAAGTCTCAAATAGACTCAAATCCTCCTTTATCCTTAAGTTTGGAAAATAAGTTTATATAATAATTGACTGTGATTTACCAACAGTGTGCAAAACTCATAAAAGAAATCCGTCTTTTCAAACACACAAAAGATGAAACACTAGAAGAAAAAGACATTAAATTCCGCGAAATGAAAGAGTTTCACAAGGTCATTGACGAAATGTTAGTTGGTGTCTTAGAAAATGCTGAGCTCCGTGTCATCCTTCAGACATACTTTCAGCAGGTAATACGGTATGCTCTAATAAGTGTGTGTATGTGTATGGAATGCATACATATATATGTTATGTATATGTGCACTTTGGATACATATACATTTGGTACTGGAGACTGAACCTTGGTCCTTGTGCATGCGATCTATGTGCTGTGCCTCTGAGCTATACTCTCAGCCTTAGCATTTCTGAAACATTTCATGAAAATAAATTTTAACACTCATCAGAAAGTGAAACAATTTTTTTTTTGAAAATGTAGAACAACTAATGATTGGTGTTCATATTCTTCCAGAATGGGTTAGAACTGCCTACTGCTAATATAAAAGGCAGTCACCAGAGCTCTAGATCTCCTTCCCAGACTTCACTGCAATCAGCAAGGTAAGTGGAAGGTTAGTAACACATCTTAACTGTTGCAGCACTACCCTAAGCGTACTCAGCCACACATCACTACAGCCGTTAGATCAGCAGTGCACTCACCCTCAGCTACGTCACTGTCAGGGAACACCGACTAGATGTGAAAACAGTATGTACAGAATCCCGACTTCTGCTGCTGTCACTATTTCTATAATAGTACACTTGGCTGTGACTGACAGCTATTTTAGCAAGATAAAGCAGGGTAAATTTGAGGGATTCAGCTAGCATTTGGGGTGGACCCCAAGTTGGGGAAAATCTTTTTTAACTATAAAAGGGGGAACTTGAATGTACACACAGAAGTGGATGATGATTTTGTGACTCAGCCTGTATTTTGAAATTTTTCAAAACAGGATTTGATTTTTATGATGCTTTTTTTTTGCTAAAAAAGAAACTAATTTTTCATTCTACAGTTTTATGTCATCCAGGATTTCATCATTAGGGATACTTAATCAAAACTCTTGTGCTTTATTTTTTTTACCCTTTATTGTGATGGGTGGGGATACACTGTGGCCTTACTGACCAAATTTGTTAATGATGATCCTGATTTTAGGATTTCCAATCTCTTATAGTCAGCAGCTATATCGGACCATTTAGATTTCAGGAAAAAGGGCCTAAAAGATAAAAGTATAAAAAACTGCACTTACATAAACATATTAAGTAGTTACTTATACTTAACCTTCCTTGCATTTTTATAAATGCATTTTCCAAGCATATCATTTTAGAATTGTATGGCTATTTTCCAAATGACTACACCATTTATCCTTGTCATACTGCTCAGCTTAAATTACACAAACTACCATGTTTATTACTCTTGCAAGTACCAAAATCCTTTTGTTCTTCCTTTTGTTACTGTCTTGCAAACTTTTTTTGGTGGCACTGGGGTTTGAACTCAGGGCCTCACACTTGTTAGGCAGGTGCTCTACCCCTGGAGCCACTCTGCTAGCCCTTTTTGTGTTGGGTATTTTTGAGACAGGGTCTCACAAACTATTTGCCCAGGCTGGCTTCAAACTGCGATCTTCATCTCTGCCTCGAGTAGTTAGGATTATAGGTGTAAGCCACCAGTGCCTGGACATCTTGCCAATTTTTAATGCTTACTAAGAAATTGACTATAGTTGACAATATTTTCCTCACATGGAAATATATTGAACTATTTGCTGAAGATATGATATTCTTAAAATTCATTTATTATTATCGATTACATAGTCATACTTTTAATTTTATTAATACTAATATATGCTTTTTAATCTATATACTTAAGGAATTGTACCTTTTGTCAATAATGGCAGGTCTGTATTAAATATAAATTTTGCATTAAACTTACAATTCTTTTTTTTGCTTATTTTTCTAGGTCAGCTAGGAGTACTAGCACAAGTACTTCTGCTTCTCAGACTTCGATTAAAGTAGTAGAATTTACCTTCCCTGATTCTTTGCCAGCAGGTCACAGTTCTAGGCCATCTAGCACTAGCACTGGTGCTAGTAATGGTAAAAATAAAAAGAGCAACAAATAAACATTTTTATCTCTTTTGAACTCAAGTACACACACACACACACACAACACACACTTCAATCCTAATAGCAGTAAATCCTAAAGAAGCCTACTGAAATAGTGTTTGAAATACAAAATGACCAGACAAGTTTTAACCACAGGAAAAAGTAAATTCTCATTTACCCTAGAAGATCCCGTTTCTCAACTTTTTTGGGGGGAAAAAAGTTAAAGGAGTTCAAGAAAATAATTAGCAAGGGAAATGCTGTATATCAAAAAAAAAAAAAACAAAATTCTAAGAATTAATCCACTCTTTGAAAGAAATGAAACACATCAGAGATTTTGCTTTCAAAATACAGGAAGCATAAATAAACATGCATCTTTTGAAATTTAAACGCAAGATGTGATTTGATTTCCAATTAGAATCCCATAAATTTACATTGGAGGTAGACCACTAGATTTAGACGTAGTTTTCTGGCTAATACTTTTGTGTTCTGCCACTTTGAACTTTATTTGGGAAAATGAGAACTGTTATGAAACTGGATTTCCAATACACTGTTTTAGAACTCCTGTGTGTAAATGAACATCATCAAACCTTGGAAAATAATATTCAGTACAACTGACTGTCTTAGAAACATCGTTCCCAAGTGGGAATGTTCCTTCTGAAAAGCAGTAGTGGTAATATATCCATTTTTCTTGATTACTTTTTGTTTTTAGAATTAGCCAGGAAAGGGCATAGTAGTGAAGTTCAGTGATTAAGATGGGTAAAAAGGCTGGATAATTTTTGACTAAAACATTGGTCTAATACATGAAATTTATTAAGATTTAAAAGTGATTTATCCTGTAATCATTTGGGTGACTGAAGATCGCCAAAGTTCTTATTTTCAGCAATGTATTAATTTATAAATTACCTAAAATTTGAAAATACTAAGCTGTGCTCTATGAAGCCAGGAGTTGTGTCTTCCCAACTCAGTGATTTTGGGCAGTAACTTAGGCTTTTTTTTCTTACTTATAATATAGATTAACAGTTACCTACCTCGCACTTATTGAAATAACTGGAAAATATAAGCAAAATGCACAGGGCTTGACACACAGTAATTGCACTATAACTAGTAACTTCTTACTATTAAATCACTACCTAAAGCCGGCATATCATTTGTGGAATAGTTTCTTAGGCTAGTATACAAATTTATATCTAATCCCTAAATCATTCTAACTTCAGTATAATAATGCTAAATGGTAAGAGAGGGGATCAATCCCTCTATTTCTAAATCTGGAGTTTTCTTAACATCCAAAAGCTACTATTCTACTTATGGAAATCAAGACACAGCCAGTCTGGGTATGTATGAACTAAAGATACAATAATGATGACAAAAATTGCTGACAATGTCACTCAGGATTCTTGACAACTTAAGTTTTTTTTTTTTTGCTGTGATGAGCTTCCTAAATACACCCTCAGAAACTGAGTTGTACACTCTGCTTAAATTTACTACATCTTAGGAAAGACGGTATTTCCAAATTCAGGCAGCCTGCAAAATAAGGCACTACTTAGCTTTAAATAAAATGGTTTGTGTAAAATCTTAAGCTGTTGTAGGATTCCTAATGTCAAGGCCTATGCCAAGAGGTAGTTTTCACTCTTTGTAGAACTGACTCTTTATAAAAGAGTTTCTTGGTGCAAAAACTCATGCTTGAGTGACGGGGCTATTTCTATTGCCATTATCTATTGTTCTTAACCAGGGTTTCTTTTCACTGTTCCATTACAAAACAAGTTACAGATTTTTCCCGTTAGTCTCCTTATCAACTGCAATTGAAAGACGCAAGTAATATGTAAGAGTACAATAGCCTTCTGGTATTTTTACCAGTAGCAAGCCACTGGCAAGTAGAAAGGAATGAGTCCTTCCTCCCTGTATAATTTTCTCTTAAGCACTTTTGTAGGTGGATAAACCTATCCTTCCCACCCACAAAAATACAATCCCTCAGTCCAATCATGTAGCCACTGCCCTTTTATACCTTCTAGAAGAGTCCCTTACAAGGATTCCTAAAAGCATCCCTAATCCGGCCACCAAGGACTTGAATCAGTGATCTCTCAAAAAGCTGGGGAAAAAAAAAAAATTCTCAGCACATTGGGAGGCCTAAAGTAGAAGGATCATGAGTTGAGGCCAGCCTGGGCTACACAGCAAGATCCTGTCTCAAAAACGCCAAAAAGTTTTGGCAGTTAAAATCTCCGCAAATTATAATATACCATTATTTTAGTAATTTTAGGCAGATCTTTTACAGCCCGAGTTCCCTTAACTTTAGTTGCTAGAATTTATCTGAGTAAAACCGGGCTCTGGTTGATCTAGTCCATTTATTAGAATTCCTGTAAGAAAGGTGGCAGTAAAGGAAAAGGATGTAGTAAGGAAACACAGAATGCCAAGCCATCCCTAGTGATTTTTCACCGAGCCTGTGCACACTAGACAAGTTTTCCAATTTTCTTCCTCCCGAAGAAACCAGATTTTTTCTCTCTTCCTTTTTTTGCTATAAGTATTATTTTCTATTCTGATCTACTTTCCCTAAGGGTCTTGCCAATATTTAAAGTTTAGAAATTTATTACAGTCAAAATACTGGGAGTAAGTCAAAATAAAAATAAGCAATGCAGGCTCTTTTTTTTTGTTTGTTTGTTTTTTTGTTTATTTGTTTGTTTTTTTTTTTCATTTTTCTTTTATATTCCATATGTGCATACAGGCTTGGTTCATTTCTCCCCCCTGCCCCCGCCCCCTCCCATGGCAATGCAGGCTCTTAATCAACCTTCATGGTCTTATTCCTAAGGTATTTGTTAAGTTGGGCTGAAGCCAATGACTGTTCACAAGCTAAATCAGGCTTTAGAGACAAATTAAAACATAACCTATCATTTTAAAATAAAACTGCAAAAAGTTGATACTTAAGTGATAGATATGAAATAGTACTCAACAAACATTCAAACATACAATCTTTTTCAAAATCTGAGGGCTTTTAATGTTTAACAGAAAAGAGAGTAGTTATTTTTGATGAAAATTATCCAAGTGTTCAATGCACAAATTTAATTTTCTCTCAGACAGAAAGATAAGGTGGGCCTAGGAATTCTTACACCATAATATAATGAAGAAACAATGTTTTCAGGATTTACCTTTAGGTGAAGAAGTTTACACTGTCAGAGTAAGAAATATATGGTACATGAACATACCCATGAAAAGCCTAAAACTCAAGTTGAGACAGAGACCTGAAAAGCTTTCTATAACCTCTACAAATATTTCTGTACTGGAATATTAGGACTAATAAAACACCCTAAAACTTTTATTAACAGTGCTTGGTTTGTTAATTTTTTGGCTTATTTCCTTTTTCTCTCTCAAATTCAGCTATCTGATTAAATATATTGAGTAAATTTTGGGGCAAATTTTTTTTAACTCTGCTTTCTGATTGTTCTTTGCTATTTAGTCTATCTTTTTCTGGAACCTCTGTTTTGTTATCCTCCCCAGAAATATCCTCTCTTTCACATTCTCCTTGATTTGTATTTAATCTGTATCTTTGCTCATGTCTATTGAAATCACGTGATCCAGAGTAAGTACACTTTTTGTGTTTTTCAACTGACTTCCAAGAGTAGTCTGAACTTGCTGGTGAAGTGGAATACCTCATAGAACCTGGCCCCCACCTTCTATAGTACTCTTTTCTTCCCTCTGTGTCCTTTTCAAATCTCCTGTAACCATACATTTTTATTTTGTCCTCTGAATTCCTACAGAAGGAATCTGAATAATTTCTTCTATTGGAAAAATGTCTTTCTGATTTATATGGTTTTTCTGCTTTGCTACTACTACCTGCCTGGGTTTTATAGCTATTGTAAAAATCTCTTGGCTCTTCAGACCTACCTCCAGAATCATCCGGTATTTCAACTGAAGATGAAGAGAGAGGGCATCTATCTTTTTCTTTCACCTGTGTCTTTTGATATTGTAACCTATCCTGCTTTTCCAGCAGTTTTTCCATTTCTTGTTTTTGGTTAAGAAAAGATGCTGAAGTGTTAGTTGGAACTGGGTAGGACTCATCTTTCCTATTCTGATCTATGTGACTTGAGGATGCCCTAGATGAATGCCTTTTGGAACTGCGAGAAGACTCTGAACGGTTCCTCTTACGTTTCTTATTGCCTTTTGTGACCAGAAGAGGAAGAGGATGAGGAAGAAGTAACTGATTCATCAGCAGAAGAATCACTTGAAGAGGAAGATGATTTTCTTCTTTTCTTCTTTAGCCTATTAAAAAAAAAAAAACAGTCAATTCATCAGATAAGCTAAATACAAAAATGTTACTAAATTATCCATAAAAATGTTGATCCTATTTTTTTTCCTAGATTTCTTATAAGCCATAGCATAGTTAAATTTGTTACAAGTCAAATTTTACGACTGAGTATGACTTTTGGGAAAAATATCTGGGGAAGATGAGGAAGGAAGTAACTGATTCATCAAGCAGAAGAATCCACTTGAAGAGGAAAGAGATTTTCCTTCTTTTCTTCTTTAGCCTATTAAAAAAAAAAAAAAACAGTTCCAATTCATCAGATAAGCTAAAATACAAAATGTTACTAAATTATCCATAAAAATGTTGATCCTATTTTTTTTTTTCCTAGATTTCTTAATAAGCCATAGCCAGATAGTTAAAATGTTACATTAGTCAATTTTTACACTGAAGTATGACTTTTGGGAAAAAATAATCTGGGGACAAAGTGGTTCAACTAGAAGCAACATCATTTCCTGAAAAGACAAGAATGATTTTCCAACACTACTGTAAAAGCTTAAAACAACCCTGAAGAAATAAAAGTTTATATTCTGTCTATCTCTAGTTTTACTGCTTTCCCACTTCAGCACTGACATTTTGGGCAAATAGTTTTGAAGGAGGGGTATCCTTCCCAGTGTAATTGTAGGACATTTTAACACTGTCCTGACCTCTACAAATGCTATGTGGCTATCCCCACCAAGCTTATGACAACTCAAAATCTCTCCAAGACATTGCCTGGTATTTCTGGGG